GCTGGGGCGGCGGGCAGAGCAGACCACAGCGGAGAGAGGAGCCAGTGAGTCATGGACCTGCAGCACAGGGCTGGGGAGCCTGGGGCTCTGCGGGGCTGCAGCTGCTCAGGCAGGCCAGGGGAGAGATGCACACTGGGTCTGGGGGGTTGCACTGGGTCTGGGGGTTGCACTGGGTCTCACCTACATCTGCTCTGCTCCGGGACATGTCACAGAGGCTGCTTCTTGCTCCCACAGCCATTGGCGGATCATAGATGGGTGTGGGTGGTAGGGCGTTGCAGATGGGGCTGGGGGGTTGCACTGGGTCTGGGGGGTTGCACTGGGTCTGGGGGTTGCACTGGGTCTCACCTACATCTGCTCTGCTCCGGGACATGTCACAGAGGCTGCTTCTTGCTCCCACAGCCATGGGAGGATCATAGATGGGTTTGGGTGGAAGGGACCTTAAAGATCATCTAGATCCAACCCCCTGCATGGGCAGGGACACCTCCCACCAGCCCAGGCTGCTCCAAGCCCCATCCAACCTGCCCTTCAACACTGCCAGGGATGGGGCAGCCACAGCTTCCCTGGGCAACCTGGGCCAGGCTCTCACCAGGGATGTGCCCACATCTCCTGGCCAAGCCCAGGTGTCTGGCCAGGGCTGGAGCTTGGACACCAAGGGGCTCTGGACAGGTGGGATCTGTCACCTGGGGGTGACACAGGGGGAGGTGGCTGCACCAGGTGGGCTCATGGTCACCACAGTGAAATGGGTGAGGGCTACTAGGAGCACCTGTGTGGTTGCCAAAGCCCTGGGAGCTGGACAAGGTGCTGGCTCTGCCAAGAGGAAGGTGGTTGTGGCCAAGAGGTGCTGGAGGGAGCAGCACCTGGTGGGCTTTGGGTCCTGTGTAGCAGCTGAGGGCAGCGTGTGCCCAGGCTCCTGGCACAGGGAGCCAGCAGAGCTGGCAGCTCCTGGGGCTTCTGCTGCCAAGAGCTGTAGGAAGCAGAAGTGATCCAGGATGATGCTCTGGGGGCTGTTAGTGGGTCAGCCGGAGGCTCCC